ATAAGCTTGGTGTGCTGAATTATACCTATGTCATATAGATTGATAACTGTCAAACTGTCTTAAAAACAAGGCTTCTATCTTCCTGATTTTGTAGGTTTTTCTTTTGTTACTTTTTAAAAGTAGAAAGCTGAGAACTACCTAAGTGCTGTATATATTTAAATATTCTAAGGGACGCTTTCATTCCAGTATTATATTTTCACACAGTCACACATACATTGATTTAAAATTTGATCATAGTCTGGAAATTTCACTTGTGAACAGTGTTTTCTTTGTGAATTATTTAGTGCAGTACTGTATTTCCTGGCATGCATTCAAGTAAACAAAAATGTGTAAACAGAACTTTGAAATTAATTTGTCATTTATTATTATTCATCACAACATACAGAATGAATATCCTATTTATTTTCCATAACCTATGCTTTTTGCATAAAAAGTTAGGGTTATGGAGAAGTAATTAGTAAGGCATATGAGAGTCACTTAAGTCAACTCTTTGCATTTATCAGGTAATAGGGTTTTTTTCTGGTGCACATCTATTACTTAATGTTTGGAACAGGAACTTTTTAAAAAACCTGCATATATTCTTATTCTTTTGTTTTAGTATAGCTAATTATATGTAACGATTTTAATGTCATTTCATAAGCAGAAACCTTAAATGAGGACGGGACCAATCAGATGAATGGAGCTCAGTCTTTTTGCTCAGGCAAGACATTATGGATGCGGGCATTAGCCTTTATTGGTCAAGTGATCAGGTGTCCTCATAAATATTTGTTCCCTGTTATCTGAATATACTTATGTGCTGTCACACATCCAGAATTACTACCTAGTTTGTAATCAGATGTACCTGGGGCTTCAGTGATCTAATCTGGTCTGTGTGTCCCCCCTGTGGAAAGCACCTGGGTCATATGACAGGCGGGGGACAGTTGTGGCAGGGAAAGAGTAGTGGGGACCTTGAGGAAAGAGCTGGGCAATAAGCAGCTCTAGGCTAAGTTATTCTTATGGACCATCTGGAGTTAGATCACTAGAAGTTGTTTTGTTCAGACTGGACAAAACACTGTCTGCTAGAGTTATTAATGTAAATATAGGCAAAACCCCCTTACCTTCATCTAACAGTGTTGGAAGAGTTGTAGTTGCCAAATCCTTTTGTCTCTTAAGAGAGTCATATTATGATTCCCTTATGCTGAGTAGCATTTTCCCATTTAAAGTAGTCCTATTAATATCAATGCAATAGATAGTCATATAAATATCTATGCAATTAGAGAATAGTATTATCCAAAGTTGGCAAAGAGAATAAATATTAAAAAATTATCTTTCTTACACACTTTCTCAATAGGTGGTCTTCTGCGTATAAGAATTGGGCCCTATTCCTCCAATCTGACTAGTAGCAAAAAACCCAAAATCCTATGCAGAAACCCTGTTAGATCAATTTAAGGAATGAGGAAAAGACGACACCAAGTTGTTTACTGTTCTTTTTTTGAAACACATTTAAGTTTTTTTTAAATTAGGAAGAAATCTCCCTAAAAGCTATAGTTAAGCCTCAGCTGTATAATTGGAAACTAGTAGCAAAAAACCCAAAATCCTATGCAGAAACCCTGTTAGATCAATTTAAGGAATGAGGAAAAGACGACACCAAGTTGTTTACTGTTCTTTTTTTGAAACACATTTAAGTTTTTTTTAAATTAGGAAGAAATCTCCCTAAAAGCTATAGTTAAGCCTCAGCTGTATATTTGGAATATGCTATGCTATGCTATGTGTAGGAGAAGCAGCTTTTTAATAGACTTTTTTAGAGGATTAAAGGTTGGATTTTCCTGTAATTTACAATGGAACTATGTGAATGATGCATGATTATTAAAATCTGAGAGAAGTTATCCTATAAGGCGTAAAATCTTGTTTCTGTTCTTTCTTCAGCTATTATTGTGTACAGGTTGCCCTGGACCTGGAAGTGCAGCAAACTCCTAATGAAGTTCATACATGCTGGATTAAATACCATAGAGCTATGATTTGCAATTGTTTCTATGGTAGCTGTGTTTGAATACCACAATGCCAGGAACATTCCTAACATATGCAGTCTGCACAGCTGGATTGGGCTGACTGCTGTTATATTTTATTCTCTCCAGGTCAGAATCTAACTGTATTTATAAACAGGTTGTAAATTTGAAGAACGTGTTGAGTAATTCAGGCACAATAGGCCCTCACTAATACACCCTAACTACTGGGATACCCATTTTACATTCTGTGATTTGGCAAATTAGCATGTAAATGTGCAAATACTGGATCCTTGACTTCAAAGAAAAATGTATTTTAAAGCATATTTTGTTTATTTGCTGGGATAATGGCAGTTTATTTACTATCCAGTTATACAGTAGTGTGTTTCTAAGCTCTATAAACTGCTGAAGTTAAAGCAAGTGATTTGGTTTGTTGGCAGCATATTTAAATACAGCTAGAGCTTTTATTAAGGAAGTCTCAAATGTTGTTCTTTTTTTCCAGCTATCATAATTTTAAGGCTATGCTATGTGTAGGAGAAGCAGCTTTTTAATAGACTTTTTTAGAGGATTAAAGGTTGGATTTTCCTGTAATTTACAATGGAACTATGTGAATGATGCATGATTATTAAAATCTGAGAGAAGTTATCCTATAAGGCGTAAAATCTTGTTTCTGTTCTTTCTTCAGCTATTATTGTGTACAGGTTGCCCTGGACCTGGAAGTGCAGCAAACTCCTAATGAAGTTCATACATGCTGGATTAAATACCATAGCTATGATTCTTGCAATTGTTTCTATGGTAGCTGTGTTTGAATACCACAATGCCAGGAACATTCCTAACATGTACAGTCTGCACAGCTGGATTGGGCTGACTGCTGTTATATTTTATTCTCTCCAGGTCAGAATCTAACTGTATTTATAAACAGGTTGTAAATTTGAAGAACGTGTTGAGTAATTCAGGCACAATAGGCCCTCACTAATACACCCTAACTACTGGGATACCCATTTTACATTCTGTGATTTGGCAAATTAGCATGTAAATGTGCAAATACTGGATCCTTGACTTCAAAGAAAAATGTATTTTAAAGCATATTTTGTTTATTTGCTGGGATAATGGCAGTTTATTTACTATCCAGTTATACAGTAGTGTGTTTCTAAGCTCTATAAACTGCTGAAGTTAAAGCAAGTGATTTGGTTTGTTGGCAGCATATTTAAATACAGCTAGAGCTTTTATTAAGGAAGTCTCAAATGTTGTTCTTTTTTTCCAGCTATCATAATTTTAAGTAGCTACTTCTTGGCCTCAAGACTTTTGTTTATCAGCAGAACAAGCGCAGCAGGGAGCAGTGCAGATCTAAAGGATCTGACATCTGAATGAGCTACTACTGGCTAACCAGCTTTCCTGAATCAGCAAAACTTTGATAGATGTTCACGTGCATGCTTTTAACGGCTCCTATTGGCAAAGAATTAGAGTTATCATAATCTAAAATGAGCTAACTTAGTATGTTTTGCATTTGGCATAGAAGAAGATCAGGCATGCCCTGACATTTCGTGTACACATACAGATGTGATGTTTCTGCATATACATTCTGAATTCCCTATATTGTGTTATTACACTATGGAAATTTATTTTGTTTCTTCAGATTGTGATTCTTAATTGTTTTGCCAAAACACTAAAAAAAAAAAAATAGACTTAATTATCTGGTGATCAAGCACAGAAAATCCCCAGCTGAGCGATTCGGGTTCTGGACTTTTACCCTTCACTGCTCAGGCTAGGAGGTACAGGAAATAGTGTTGAAATAGTGTTTTTAACACTTAGGAAAAAGAAAGCATATTGCAGCGTTGCTGAGTATATTCTTTATAGTTGAACAACAGCTAATGAGTAAGAAGGAACAGTGTGAAGATTTTCCTTGTCTTAATAATGCAGTTATTTCAGGGAAATCTGTGCTGCCACTATATTATCAGCACTTTTTCTAATGGTTAAGATAAAGAATTGTGAATAAGATCTTAATTCTACTTTTCATTTTGCTACTATAAACATGATCAATGGCACTTAATGCCTTGCCTGTCTCATCAATAGAACTGTGGTGTTACTTCCTCCAAACTGGGATACAAGTCTCCAGTCAGAGACTGATGTTTGTTAGGTGATTGAGCACTATTGTTAAGAAACAGTCATAAAGTAGTATCTCTGTTAATAGAGAAGACACTTGGCATTTGCCAGAAATGGTATGTCAATCTCAGAACTGAAAAATTATTGAGGGGGGATGCTCACAAAATACTATACCTACAGGAACAATAGTGTAAATTTATTGTATTTAAGCCAAATGTATGTTAATACAGTATAGCACAAGGACATGAATTTAAGAATAGGGCAGAAATATAAAATGGAGACTGCCTCTTGGAAAGCAATGTCTCTGGGAAGAAGTACTCAAAGACGACATGAAGCTCAAAATGAGTTCTCACGATGCTGTGACAACAGGAAAAGTAAATTCTCTAATAAGAAATTATCTTAACCTCCATATATGGCATTGGCAAAACTAATACGAAATACTATGGAATAATTTTTTTTAAAAAATGTAAAAAAAAAATAAAAAAGAAGCAAAGAAAATCTGGAAAAGTAATTTGAGAGCTGGAAAAACTGTCTTCCAGTGAAAGACTTAAAAAGCTCCAACTGTTTAGCAGATCTAAAGAAGATTAAGAGATGACTTGATTATGGTGTATTAAAAAGCTTCCCAGGGAGGAAATACCAGGTTCTTTAATCCAGCATGGAAAGACAAAACAAGGACTAAGACTGGAAGTTAAAGCAAGATGAAATACAAATTCATGCACTATTTCTAATTTAGCAGCAGGGGTGAGTAACGGTAGAACAAACTAAAGGGATGCAACCTCAACATGACTGGGCAAGCCTGTGATGGAAACCATGTGACATGATGGGTTATCTTCCGTCACAAAATTAGTGCTAATGGGAGGACTCATGTCCCCTGAATAACTTCATGCCACGCACACACATCTTCACTCTGTAAATGCCAGCTGATTGATATATTGAGATATAGACCATTGCTCTTCTAAAGACATGAACTTTAATTTCACCAAAACTCTAACAAGGTAAAATTATTTAGTCCACTCAAGTCAGAAGGTTAGACTGCCTTGCGATCTTCATTTATGTGTAAATCTGTAACAGAGGCAGAGAACAGGAATTGAAGAGACTGTAAAAATGTAGCTACTCACACCTTTAATATGTTACTGCATTAGTTACACTGAAAACTTGTGTTTCCAGTACTTGCAGTTGCAGTTTTAGCATTACTAGTAAGTTTGGACACTGATATTAGGTGGGATTATTTATAAAATATTTCATTTCTGCTTCCCAGGTGCTAATCCAAAATTATTGCTTAGGTTTTGAAGAGAAACATATTCAGAAATAAAAATGCCAATTCTTTTCAAATTTGTACCTGAAGACATCTCAATATGGAATTTTTACGATGATTTTTATTCTGCTTGAGAAGTACAGCTTGTTTCCCATATAGCTTTAACTATGAATCTGTTTTCTGTTTAGCTTTTCTTGGGTTTCGCTGTCTTTCTGCTCCCTTTTGCTCCAGTTCCTCTCCGAGCAGCTCTCATGCCAATACATGTTTATTCGGGTCTTACCATCTTTGCAACAGTGATTGCAACAGCTCTCATGGGAATCACAGAAAAGCTTATATTTTCATTGTAAGTATTTTTTTTTCACTTGTTTATTAAAGTTAATCATTGCAAACTGTACTTCCATTTTGTTTTGTTTTAAAAAGACCTCCTACCTAGAAAGAGACTGCTGTTTTTAGACCAGGACTGTCTCTAAAACAACTGACCTTTTTTTTTTCCCCCTTCCAAAGGAAAAATCCTGCATATAGTGCATCCCCACCAGAGGCAACTTTTGTCAACTGTCTTGGTCTTTTGCTTGTCATATTTGGTGCACTTATTTTGTGGATGGCAAGCAGGTCCCATTGGAAGCGCCCCCCAGAAGAGAATGCTAAAGTTCTGCGGCCCATTGGAGGGACTCCTGAAGGCACAGAAGCAGAATCCACAATGACAGATGGTAGCAATGCAGATAAATCTGATCTGAGGATCAATAGTGAAGCAGCCAGAAAACAAAACCTCAAACTTGATGAAGCAGGCCAACGATCAACTATGTAAAGAAAATACACAGAATAACAGTACTATTATACTGCCTTCCCCCCCCCCCAGTTCCTTCCAATTTAGTTATACTGACATATAAATAGGTTGGGGGTTTTTTTCAGTATGGCTTGCTCAAAGATACTCAAGTTTTCTGCACATGAATTTAAATTCCAGTAAGTCCCAAACATATTATATTGGTTCATGCTCGGTCCTCATTTAAAAAATGAGAGTGTGAATGACATCACATAATGGGAAAATCACATAATTGGAAAATGTTTTCCATATCACTTCTTAATTTAATGCTTATATCTCATATAGTCATGAAAAGTTAACAAGATTCAGACTAAATTTTGCTCTGAGAGATTTTGCAGGTTATGAATCAGAGTCATGAAGTATACCGGACAGCAAACTTCAGTTGGTCACACATAATTTTTCTGGTAATGTTCACTTTTTTAAAGCCCTGATTTCTCAAGCTGATTAACCCTCTCACCAGCTGCTAAGATCTATGGGATTTGAGGTCATTCAGCACTTTGCAGAGTTGCACCATAAAAACGTTTAGTCTAAAATTTTGAATTCAAAAAAAGAAATGAAAGTTTGCCTGAAATCTTCATTAAGTGTTATGTTTCCTTTAAAATTTTCTATGGTTTGGGGTTTTTTTAATCAGAACGCATGCGTTGACTTTTTAACCAACTCTACCAAATATATTGTATACAGACAACATTTGGCTTTGGATTATGTGTGATCATTACTGAAATCTAAGGAAATTGGAAGACATGCAAATGCAGAATTTGTCTTATTTGGAAAGCTATAGATACACACTTAGAAAAATATGTATCACTTAAACCAAGCCTTCCTTTTATCCCAGAAGGCAACATTTTACTTTTGATAATCAAACTTTATTTGATTGCACAGTTCTATTGATTTATGGCACTAGACTAGAAATTAGGTTAGAAACCAGAAAAGACTGCTAGCAGTCTCACAGAAGAAAGGAGCTTGAAGTGAGAAATGCTTCCTCCAAGAAACAGCTGAGCTGTGCTGATTTGATTAAAACGCTACCCATTAACAGAAAACCAGTTTTGGTATCTCCACACTGGTGTCAAAATCATTATCATCACGGGCATGAAGATATACTTTAGTCTATACGCAAACTATATAAACTCTATGACTTTTTAATTTGAAATTAAAGTGTTAAATAATGCAATTTGAGTCTCTACTGGCACTTTACTTTTATAGCTCTTTCTAGTAATCGGAGTGTTAATGTATTATGCTCATTCATTATTTTCAGAGATATAAATAATACTTACATTTTTTACTACTATAGAAGAATAATTATACTAGATTTTTTTGGTTGCACATGTGCACAATGATGAGCCTTTCTATTATAATCTCTTGTAAAAGCTTCAGAGCCCACTACAAGTCCAAATTTACCACTGTTTGTGTTGCAAAATAAACAGTTTCAGACAGCATATAATTTCCTATTTTTTTAAAGACTACATAAATTTTTATCTACTTCAGCTTTTTAAAATATTTAAACACATTAAACTTTAGCAAATACGCAATTTTTGTAGTTCAGTGTTGTGTTAGTACAAACAATTTTGGTCATGAGTTATTTTGGATCTTCTCTGACAAGAAGCACCTCAGTTCTGTTATCTGATTTGTAATAACATTTAATTATTTGGTGAATGCAGTATAGAAAGCTAGCACACTAAATTATTTGAAAAACTTTTCTGCTGTACCATTTGGTACTCAAGGACTACACCCCAGAGTTCTATGTTTTTATTTACCTATGTTTGTGGAGCCACCTAGCATTGGTGTATTGTTTCATTTGAGAAAATACCTGCTTTAAAATGCCTTAGTGTAGAATTCGGGTATGACAGAAGGAGTACTATCCTACTGTGTGAACACTCCTCCAGTTCCACTATGTGCAATGGATTGGACAGCTTTTTCCCTGTTTTTCAAGTTCCATATAACTATCTGTCTTCCCTAAAATTGTTCTGCGCAGCTTCAGCATAAAATCCAAATGGTACTGATAGCAGCTTTCTGAGAGAAAAACAAGAGCGCTTGTTTTACATGACATTAGTGCTCAACTGACATGACATGATTATGTTATGCATCTTATTACAAATTTATATATTGAACATTAAGTAGGAAGAGGGATTCGCAGTACCTTCTGGAGAACACTAAACTGTGCTGTCTTCTTCTGATCTTGTTATGGTCTGCTCAACAAGTCTGGTTTTTTGGTGAAATCAGTAAGCATCTTACAGCTGGTGGATGCACGTTTAGTCTTTGTGAGAGATGCTCTATTAACACTTTTGAAGTATAACAGATGAAGTGAATAAATGAACTCAACTAGTAATTGCATAGTAATTTACCATGCTAGCTTCCTATACTGCACTCACACAGGCAACAACATTTTAAGTTGGTACGTATTGGCCTGTTACTATGACTCATCTACCTGTGCAAATAAGCTCACTCAATCCCTTCATAGCACTAAGTAATCTAATAAAAGCATGTGTTTGTGTGGAAGGTAGTCACTTGTCTAAGGATTGTTCTGGAAGAAATTCTAGCTGTACAGTATATCGGGGAAAAAACCCACAAAATCTGTGATTTCTTTTGTTATAACACTGACTTGGATGTATTGAAATCAACAGCTTTTAGGTAAATGGTTCTATATGCTGTTAAAGTTAAGCTATAGTAACCAGTATGCCTTCTGTTTTCCATTTTATTCCATGTACTGTCAAGAGTAATGATACTTGAAAAAGAATGGTGGCATTTCTTTACTTCTGTATTCTGATGATATAAAACTAATTAATTGAAAATCAAGGATTAGCAACCTTTTGAGGGTAATCTGCCAGACTATATTTTTGTTATTCAACTTCGAGGTTATACGTGATAGTAGAAACTCAGTGGGAGCTGGAAGATTCCATTCTGGGAAATTACTATAATTAGTGATCTCTCATGTGTATGAGCTGTGGGCTTCTGGCTGCTTTGGTCTTTGGACGGTCCCCGTGAGATGCGGTAGCTGTGAGCTCCTAAACCTTGCTCAACCATGGTGTGTGCAATTTAAAACAGACTCAACATGCTATAGTCTTTTGGCTTCTGTTCTAAACTGATTAAAAAGGTCTTTAAGTATCCTTGCAACATATGAGGTTAGTTCAAGTGCTAAATAAAAATACATAGAACTTTTGGAGAGTAACTTTCTCTGGAAAAAAACATATTCCTAAAGCTGCTTCTCAAAGTGGCCTTCCATTAACTTTCCTTTCATGCAATTTTTCTTACCTGTATTTATGTGTAATAGTAGCAACATGGGAAATAAAAAGGTATATTTTCAAATATATAAATAGAAGGTAGAACTCTAGCTTTTTTATCAGGATTTTTCTGCATGTTTGGAAATCTTCTACATTGTTATTTTTACAGGGACGTGATTGTAGAGCTTACATTCCAAATTTGGATTCCTATAAAAACATAGGAAGTTACAAAACCTAACATTAAAAGTGCTATTTTTTTAAGATGCCTGAAAAAAAATTATTTTTTTAATGTATTTACATGCTGTCATGCAGTACTGCACCCAGAAGCAGAGCAGTGTTTTTTCCAACATTAATGAAATTGAGAAATGATGGTGCAAACTAGATTTTAAAATTGAATGTACAGTAATTACATGTACACTTCTTACTACATGTAACCAAGAAGATTGCATATGATATTGTAAATATGGATTACTTGTTTACATGAATATTTTATTGAGAGACTAAAAGATATTGCCAAATATTTTCTATTTCAGAAGACTCTTTTGCTTCTATGTCAGAAAATTCCTTACCCTGTTTCTAACTGTTCACAGGAAGTTAAAGAATTATTTTATTGTTTTGTTAATCACGGTACTTATTTGTAGATGAAAGCAAATGTTTAATTACAATGTCTATTTTCCTTATTCTTTTTTGTATGTTAATAAAAATGATTTTTCAAGCTTATGATACCACTGATTACAGATTTAAATTATGGTACTAAAATACAACTTTCTAA